TTTATTATTAATTTTTTAATATATTATAATTATTTACATATTAATTAAAAAAAAAATTCATACGATCTACTAGAAATGACCCGTATTAACTCAGATCCAATGCTATTTGTACGGAACGACAGTTCGATTCATTATTTTAATTGATTAAATAAATATAAACGAGTTGACCATCTTCCTTGAGCATGCTGTCCAATTCAAAGCTTTCCTTTTTTAAAAGGCTGGAATCAAACAGAGAAGCTACAAGAAGAAGCTGTAAGCTTTGGTAGTATATCTCTGCCCAATTAACGTATTGGGTGGTTAGATCTGTTGCTTTCCTTTTTCTTCTCCACGGGACAGAACTGAAGCAATGATGGAAAGGTTGGGACGCTTCTGTTTCCTTGCAGTTATCTTCCTCTTCATGGGTCTCTCTGTTTCTTCTTCTTCCTCTTCTGCCTCATCAATTTCAGGTATTCATCAAGTTCTGTGTGTTCAATACGTGAATAATTTTTTTTTTTTTTTGGTTTTTGGTTTTGGTTGGATTTGTTTTTTTTTTTCCTTGTTTTTTTTTGGTTGCGGTTGTTTTTTTGAATTTTTCCTTTTTGGTTGGGAGGGGCGGGCCCTTCTTTCGGGCCCGGAAGGTTTTTTCTTTTTTTGCTACCTCTTTCCTCTTTTACTAATTCCCTTTCTTGGGTGTGGGGTAAATTTTGTATGGAATTTAATTTTACGAAGCAATTGCCTTTGATTATTTTAATTAAGTAAGATTGATGATGATGATATATATGGTTACAGTCTGAGGTTGTTGTAGTTCTGTTTGTTGTAGGGTAGGAGAATAGCTGTTCTACTTGTGCTAATCATAAATAATTAATTAAGGGGGATTTTTATTTGTCTGACTGTAGGTCAGAAAATTAATAAATAAAAAGACCATCCTAAGGCAGATTGAATTGAATCTAATCCAATCCTTAGGACATGGGATTGAGGAATTCATATGATATGATTATGAATAAGAGAATAGCTCTCTCTTTCCTGCAGGATCCTTCAAATTGTGAGTTAATAGTCTATGGCTTGAATTCGATTTGATATTCAATTCATGTGTTTCCTTCCTTTTAAGTTGATTTTGCAATTTCCATTGTAAGCAATAATATATTAACATTCATTAATTCCTCAGCCCCTGGTTTTGTACTAATTAAAAGTTATATGTTTGATCCACTTAATTACAAGTTGGGATTGGTTGATAACTTTAGACGCTAATTAATACATATATGGTAATGAGATTCATGTTTTACTGTCCCGGATTGTTAATGAAATTATTTCTTATATTATTTTATTATAAGTGTTTTAGTAGATTAATAGGGCAAACTACACTTTTAAAGTATGGTTTATCCTATAAAACATTTTTTTGTCTGATAATTATAGTCTAGTTTTGTTTAATATATATATGGTAATGGGATTCATGTTTTACTGTCCGGATTGTTAATGAAATTATTTTTTATGTTATTTTATTATAAGTGTTTTAGTAGATTAATAGGGCAAACTACACTTTTAAAGTATGGCTTATCCTATAAAACATTTTCTTGTCTGATAATTATAGTCTAGTTTTGTTTAATAAATGAAGGTGTTAATATATAGCTAATAATAAATGAAGGTGAAGAGAAGTTGATTTTTGTGTTAGAATTAGTAAAAGGCAAGGTTGAGTGTTGAGAATGAGAATGAGAAGATTATGATGCATTGGGTTAAATTAATGTTAATTACATTACATTTGCATGCATTGCAGATTGTCCCATCCACTTTGAGCTCCTGAACTATACAATCATCACAAGCAAATGCAAAGGACCTACTTACCCAGCTAGTAGCTGTTGTGCAGCATTGAAGGAATTTGCTTGTCCTTATACAGATCAGATTAATGACCTCTCAAATAATTGTGCTACAAACATGTTCAGCTACATTACTCAGAACGGGCCTTACCCTCCGGGTCTTTTCTCTAGTGTATGCAAAGAAGGAAAGTTAGGGCTTGCCTGCCCAGCTGATTCACCTTCTGCAAAATCAGCAACAGCTAATCATGCTGGTGGGATATGCAGTCCATCGATATCGCGTCTGCTGCTAATTATTGTGGGCTTGTTATTCAAGTTATTGGCATGAGGAATGGGGGGTGTTGTCAAATTTATTTTACAACAACATATGTAAATTAAATTTCACAATGTCATGGAATGTAATGTAGTTTGTTTCATTCATCTTTTTTGTTTCTTGATTTGATTAGAGTTAAAAGAGAAAAAAAGGTGGTTGTACATGGTAATTAGTAACTCCTATATATGGTGGATTGAATATGTATCTATGACATAGAGTTTATTACTTTATGATTTAAATTGTATTAAATTGTAAAATAAATATTATTAAATCAAAAAATCACTTTCAATATTAAAAGTTATGTCTCTCATTTAATAATTTATATTTTATAATTTGATACAGTTTTAATTATAAAATATTTTTTTATTATATATATATATTTATATTATTAAATGTGAAAGGTGAAAGTAAACAAGGATTAGACGCGACCTCAAACTTTAAGTGTTTGGATGAAGTGATCGGAGTTTTGAGTTCCATCACTATTATGAACTTCACCAAAAAACAATTTGATAGTGGCGCGTCTCGTTTGAGGGAGTGAAATGTTTACCCAGTCTAAAAACTAGTTGCTAACAACTAACTCATATTGATTTTCTAACCATTACCCTTGTAAAAAATAAAAATAAAAAAAGTTGAAACGGGACAGGACTGCCCTATGTCTGTCAAGATTGGCATGTTTTTAGGTGAGAAAGAGGCTCGGTCATGACTGAAGACTTTTGCCAGCCATGTAATGCAATGTAATTGTAAAATGTGGTTCAACACCATATTCAAATGTCATTGATTGATTACAGAGAAAGTTGTTGTAAATTAAATCCATGTCATAAAAATCTCAATCAAGTGTACTATCCATCAATTTCGAACCCACCACCCGACTCTGATATGGTATGGTGGTGGTAGTTTTAAGCAAATTAACCTAACCTCATATTATACCATGGTGTTTAGTGCTGTTGTAAATGGAGTGGGAAAAGGAGAACGGAGAGATGTGAACCACACATTCATTTATATATAAATTTTATATATTATATTTATATAAAATTTTAATTATTTATATAAATATTCTCTCTTTTATCATTATTAAAAAAAAAAAAAAAACAGTCCCATTCAGTTTCACAGGGGGCAAAGTAGTGGGTGATATATAAAATTAAAAAAATAGAGACTTACGTAGTGATAACGATGCTCCTACTCTCTTCCTTTCCTCCCAATTCTCCTGTGTTTTTTTGCCATCTGTTCCTTCCCTCTTCCATATTCTATTTTCCTTTCCTTTTGCTTGGGATGGGAATAATTTGGGTTGGGAATAGAAGGAAAAGAAAGGAGATTATATCCTTTTGGGTTTTTTTTTTTTTTTTTAATAAATTAATAAGTAAAAAGAATAATAAAAGGCTTTTTTTTTTTCAAAATTTTTTTAATAAGTAAATAAAAGAAAATTTTTTCCTTCACTCAATTTTATTCCTCTTAATTTAAATATACGGGTTTCTTTCTCCTCCAACTATTTTCACTCTTTTCTTTTTAGGAAAAAAAAAAAACAAAAAACGTTCCAACTACAAATTAAATAATAATAATAATAAATACTTGAAAGAATCGATGGGATTGAGGCGCCGCTGATTTTTTTGGATACCCAGATCGGCCAAGAAAGGGGGTAGAAACCCACCACCCACCGCCTGATTGCTACAAAGGTACTCTTATAATTTTCATTTTCGGAGTAATATATTTGATTTTGATGCAACTTTCGAATTCCCTTTGGTTGTTTTTTTTAGGGTTTATGGTGAATTTTTTGTTTCTCCATCTTGCAATTTCATTTCATTAGGGTTTTTTTTTGCTAATTCAGTCTGGATAAGCTCTTACATCATGATTCTTGAGATATAGATCGCATTAGTTGGGAATGATAAAAAGTATTTCTTTCTTTCTGTCTGTTAATCTTGTGATGTGCTTGCTGCTTCCAACTTAGGAAGTAACTTCAATTTATTAGTCCTTATTTTCCAAAACTTACCTTACTTATTCTTAATCTTCATTCGAACAATCTGCTTCCATGGCTGGGCAGAAAATGTCAAATTATCAAGATGATGAATATGAAATGGAGGATGTAGATGATGAAATGGATGAAGGGTTTCGTTCCACAGACGCGCCTGCCTCTGACTCTGATGGTGATGAATATGATGACTATCCGGTTTGTGATTGATACCATATTGTTACCAAACTTCGAACTTTTTATTTCATCATAAACTGTTGAATTTAATTTAACTTTGTTGCAGGGTGGTAGAATATCCGATACTTCTGCTGCTCTAGCTAGAAAAGGAAGAGACATCCAGGGAATTCCTTGGGATAGGCTTAACATCACTAGGGAAAAATACAGGCAGACTAGGCTAGAACAGTACAAGAACTATGAGAATGTCCCTCATTCTGGACAAGGATTAGTGAAGGTACTGTACCCGTTTTTTATTATTGCTTATTTTTACATCATTCAATTGTGATTCTTATCTACCATTTTAATGCTTCATCCTGTCTTCTTTTTCTGTTTTAAACAGGATTGCAAACCTACAGAGAAAGGTGCATCTTATTACGACTTCATACGAAATTCAAGATCTGTGAAATCAACCATACTTCATTTTCAGGTAACTACAACTTCTCATTTTCCTACCTTCTGTCTTATCAAATTGCTTAGCATTTAGCACTATGGTCTTTGGAATTAGTAATGTGATTGGCTAAGACCTAAGATGAATTGTCTTTCATGGTGGTAAGAATATTACCACACTTCTTTGTATTTCTATGCAATATATTGGCCTGTTTAGTTTGGGTTACTGGAATCACACTACAAAAAATTTGTTGTGGACTGTGGAGGGCATGGTGTGGTGTAGGTTAGAAATGTTTTATGACCCTTGAAATCATAGGATGTGCGTTATGTTTGACTGACTTACATTTATCTTTATGGTGATGCAGTTAAGAAACTTGGTTTGGGCTACATCGAAACACGATATCTATCTCATGTCACATTTTTCTGTCATTCATTGGTCTTCACTTGTGTGTAAAAGGCGTGAGGTGCTTAATGTTTCAGGGCATGTTGCACCATCTGAGGTTGGTGTTCTAGGCGTGATTTGTTTTGATAAAGAACCTTTAATTTCTATTATCTGTGGAGTTATCTTTCTTTCCTTTTTTTTTCTTTCTCAGAGTTATATATTTGGAGATTGCTAATTTTTCTTTTAAAATCCAAACAGAAACATGCTGGAAGTTTGTTGGAAGGTTTTAGCCAGACTCAAGTCAGTACTCTTGCAGTGAAAGATAATTTGCTAGTTGCTGGAGGATTTCAGGGAGAATTGATATGCAAAGTGAGTTACAGTCTTTTAATTAATCTTGCATATTGAGACAGCGGAGAAAAAGGGAGATTAAAATTGCTCTTTTATGTCTGTAACTCTCTTTTTGAAGTATGTGTTTAGATCTAACTTCCCTCTTTATCATCCTAGTTTGGTTCATTGCCAGACACCTCTGCCGGCCAAAATGATTCTGTAATATGTACTGATATGCTGATTTCATAGTTTATTATCAATTGCCTTTCTCCACTCGTGTACAAAGATTTACCTATGCTGTCAGTTTAACAATACCATATTTTAAGTCTTTAGTCAGTTTGCTTACAACATGAGGATTAAGGGGAGAACTTGGTATTTCATCAAGCAAATTGATTCTCTCTAAGCCATTCATTACTATTGCTCTGTCACCATTTATCTTAAAGGAACTAATCACTTGGACTTCTTGGTTTGATTGGAATGCAGCATCTAGATCGACGTGGAGTGAGCTTTTGTTCAAGGACAACTTATGATGAAAATGCCATCACTAATGCTGTTGAGATTTATGTGACTCCCAGGTATTGCTGCTTTCTTGAGCTGGTTGTGGCATTAACCATATCTCTGGAACTGCGACCTAACTTTTATTTTTTAATTACCAGTGGTGCAGTTCACTTCACTGCCTCTAATAATGATTGTGGGGTCAGAGATTTTGATATGGAGAAATATCAGCTTTCTAAGCATTTCTGTTTTCCTTGGCCCGTGAATGTAAGTCCCTTTTATTTTATCTTAAACTGTGACGTCATGCAAATCTTCACTTCCATCTGTTGTCTCTCTTTGGGTGGACTAAACAGGTTTTAGGTATGATGAAGCATGTTTGCATTCCCTTTTTTTTTTTTTAAACCAATTTTGTTATGTCAATTTTGATTAGTGTCTGTTGGGTTTTATCTGTTGCTTGGCTTGGCCAACTTTTTATTATGAATTCTGGGCCTAATCTTCTAGCAGTGGACTGCTTTCTTGTGTGAATAGTATATATAAATTAACGCTAGTGAAATTCATTGCTTTGTCTGCTGTTGGTTGCAGCATACTTCTCTGAGTCCCGATGGGAAACTTCTAACAATAGTTGGAGACAACCCTGTGGGGCTGTTGGTGGATTCCAGATCTGGAAAGGTACTTCTCTGTCTTCATTTTGTTGGCTTATAATATCAATGCCATTATGCACTTTATTTGAATGTTGTCTGGAATTGTGAACTTTGCAGACTGTAGAGTCCTTGGAAGGACACTTGGATTTCTCATTTGCATCAGCTTGGCACCCTGATGGTGTTACATTTGCCACTGGGAACCAAGATAAAACTTGCCGAGTTTGGGATGCTCGAAACTTATCCAAGTCAGTTGCTGTTTTAAAGGGTAACCTGGGAGCTATCAGGTCCATCCGCTACACATCAGATGGAAAATATATGGCAATTGCTGAGCCTGCTGATTTTGTACACGTGTATGATGTTAAAAGTGGGTATGTGAGGGAGCAAGAGATTGATTTCTTTGGCGAGATATCTGGGATATCATTCAGCCCAGACACAGAATCTCTGTTTATTGGAGTGTGGGATCGAACATATGGGAGCCTTCTTGAGTATGGGCGTCGGAGGAACTACTCGTACCTTGATTCTCTTATCTGAGTCTCAAACGTGTGAGAGAGAGATAATAATGAATAATAATGAAGTTGTCTGTGGTATTGTCGTGTACTTTGTGCAATTGAGGAGCTTAGAGAATAGAATATCCCAAGGAGGAGAAAGGTGTGTGTAGATATAAATGTAATGTGTTGTGTAATTCTAGGTTGGTATGGTCCTCTCCTTTATACCATAAACGATGTGTTAAAAGAAGGGGAGGGGAGGTACACACATCAGCTCTGTTGCGAACAAGTAATGAAGGAATGGAAAAAGTAGAACAATTGGGTTTATTTCGGGAGATGGACAATTTTTAATAGGAATTTAATTGTGGTCTTTTGTTTACCGATTGTGTTTGATTTGATTATTTTTTTCTACTAACCTTTTGTTATTCAAAAATTTCATTGAATTCTAATTAATATGGTATCCAGTTGATTTGAATCTTATATAGAAAAAAGCTCTCTTAATATTTATTTGTTTATTTATGAGATTAGAGCTCGATATTTAATTTAAAGGGAATGAAGGGTTTTTTTACTTGCATTCATAATTTATTCATGATTTGATTGATTTTATAAATTTATAGGGTTTTTTTTTTCTAGCTATTGCTTTATTAACTACTAATATTAATAAACGGTGAACTATTAGTTGTTAAGAATGAGCTAGCAATCAGAATGAATGATACATCTATATATCTTCTCTTTTTGTAAATTGTACATATTATAATTTATACACGAGGATGGATATCTTCTTACTATATTTTGAAACATTTTTCTTTCGTACGCCAATGCGTGGCAGAGGCTAAGCAGTCATTCCAGTTTTCTACACTTTACCATTATACAAGCTCCAGCTGCATTTCTTTTTAATTTTTAATTTTTTTAGCGGTTAAGATGATTTTGGATCCGAGTCAACTCTTGATTAATAAAATAAAAAATAAATTTTTTACCAATTAAATTATAACTCATTGAGTGCTTTAAGTAACTGTGGAATTGCACCTGAGCTTAGAGGCTCACTGGCATTAGTCAGCTTGTTAGGTGCATTCCCCTTGCACTGGTAGGTTTTGAACCCGTTTCGTGTCAAAATGTTTAAAAAAAAAAAAAAAGCAACTGTGGAATTGCTTCTTGACTACTGCATCGAAGTTAAAATATGCATGTCAAAAATTTCTAAAATCGATTTTGGTGACGCGCTACCATTGCGCCACGGATCTGTCAATGCAAATCGTTTCTGAATTTTCCTTCTTTTCTGTTTTTTTTTTTGAACATCTGATAGGAGGGAACGGATAAATTTTGCTTTTACAGGGAATTGATCCTTGATCACAAGCCAAGGTCATGGGAATGAAAGTCATTTTTGAAATGCTAGTGTCATTGGGTAATTTTTTTATATAATTTTTACATGTTATTACATAATAAATATATTTAATATCATAAGTTTCATTACTTTCTTATGAATTGAAAAAATTAATAATTTAAATAACATATCAAATTGTAAAAAAATGAGACAAAAAAATTATAAAAAAATCAATTCCCTTCCTTAAACTCAATCCATTGTTCCTTTGTAACTGCTGACATCTGAGGTTTGATCCAGAAACAACCAATGGAAGAAAGCCAGGTCAGCACTCAAAATCTTTCTTTGCAATCCCATCCTCACAACACAATCTCCGCTCACCACCACATCATCTTTTCCTTACCACTTGGTGGGTATCTACATCTCATTATCTTCAATTTTTTCTTCCACAATCCAACACCAGGTATTCTCACAACCATGGCAACTTCCGCAGCCTTGTCTGCCATCTCTTTCCAGGGCCTTAGACCCCTGAACAGGGGCAGCAAGTCCTGCTGTTTTCCCAACAAGATGATGATCCCGGCCACCACTCGAAACGCATCCACCAGGGCCAGGGGCAGGCTCGTCGTCAAGGCAGAGCTCAGCACTCCACTGGTGATCAGCTTGAGCACCGGCCTCTCCCTCTTCTTGGGCAGGTTCGTGTTCTTCAACTTCCAGAGAGAGAACGTTGCCAAACAGGTACCGGAGCAGAATGGACAGACCCACTTCGAGGCGGGCGACACCCGTGCCAAAGAGTATGTCAGCCTCCTCAAGTCCAATGATCCAGTGGGATTCAACATCGTTGATGTCCTTGCGTGGGGATCAATAGGCCATATTGTTGCTTATTACATCTTAGCCACCTCCAGCAATGGTTATGATCCCAAGTTCTTTTAAATCTCTCTCTCTTGTATATTCTTAAATTTTTAGGTGTTGTTGATTTCTTCTTCCGTTTTCATGCTTGTGTTTGGAATTTAATGCGCAATATAATATAATTTGGTAAAATGCTCTCTTCCAAGTACAGTTGAGCCTAACCTTAACCAAGGTTTTATTCCTTAATCAAGGTAATTTTAATTAAAGAGTTGGTAAGTGTTAACTTAAAAAATTTTAATTTAAAATTAAATATCATATATTTAAAATTTTGTGTCCTAAAGTAACTAACCTTTAATATATATATATAAATGTAATTTTGGTTGAATGTTTGACTTCATTTTTAGGGGACAATCAGGGCGAACAAGGGCGTATGAATTATAGAAAAGTTCAATTCTCAATTGAATCTAAACAACTACACAAAACATACCTTAAATGAAATTTAATTTAATGAGTAAAAATTGGACCATATTCAGGCTCCATAATCAATTAAAAATTCTTGCTTAATTTATGGAAATATTTATCCTGGACGGACATTCCTTGACCTTCCACAACCAATATATATTGAGATTTTTTTTGTTCCTCAATATTTTCCAGCATAAGCAAAGGATCAGACCTGAATTGTGAAGGAAAATACTTAGGCTAACAACTTATACT